CCGCCAAGGCCTCCAAATCCCCTCGCCTGAAACAATTGTTCATTTCTTGAGCTACTACACAGTCTGGACAGTTATATGCACATCGATAAAATTCATAGACTATCTCCTCTTTAAATTGTATAATCTCACAGTGAAGTACCAGGAATGAAGTTGGCCCAAATCTTATAGAAAAACAGGATATGTATTAAAAATGCCCAACGAGCCAGAGAGACATTACAGGGATGAAGGCACTGGCCCGCCATGCAGCCAACCCATTAGATCCCCAGCATCACGTACAGTCTCGGCACTGCCAGAAGTGACCCCTCAGCACTGCTGGGTGTGGCTCAAAATCCGCTCCCCCTCCCCTCCTACTCAATAATTAAATTAACAAGTAGATATGTCCAACATCCAGGCAGATTTGGGGGAACAAACAGTACTGATCAACATGACGTGAAACCATCAAGAGCCACAGTTTTCATTTTCAAACGTGCCATTTTCCCCCAACCCACCTTGAGCCTACAACACTTTCAAAATGTTCAACTCGCTGGCTTAAAATATTTCATTGCCCGCCCCCAGCGCCATCTTACAGCACACAGTAGCAAAGAAAAAAACCGGCTGGAGGGCCCCACAGCTCCCGGAGAATGCTCCGGCCCCGGCCAGAGCTGATATCGCCGGGAGGTCCCAGAGGGGGTAGGTGCTGTCTCCCCGCCTTCCCCAGATGGAATCCCGGTGACCATGAGCTTCTACAAGCATGGCTTTGGCATGTGTACCAGGACTTTTTCCTGAACCACGCGGCCACATAAGCAGCTGTGCGACATTTCTTGATATGCAAAGTGATCAATGGATAGCAAATGATATAGCATTTTTCCCTGAAAATCAGGCTTGAATGATGATAGGAAAATCTGAGTAAGAGAATGCCCAACCGAAAAAAAAAATTCATTATCTGTATGGGAACTTTTGCTTTTATTAAGTTTCAAGAGAAAGTCCAAAGCTGTCATAATTGCGGGTCTAACCAGCAAGTCCACCTTTGCCCAATCTCTGTCCTCATTTTTTTGTGACTCTGAACCAAGAATTGTTGCTAAGCATCTAAATGAGAGAGGCAAGACCCTGGTGGCTCACGGGAGGCACCCAGGGATATTACAATCCCAGCCTCGGGCAATTTGAACCTTTTATGTTCTTAAAATCAGGGAGGTGACAGGTTTGCTGAAGCAGCATGAGCAACCATGCATGTGGGAACAAAATCCCAATTTCAGACAAATATAGCCATCCTGCTGGGCAGGGTGGACAGCTGCAGGTAAACGTTAGCTCCCTCTGCACTCAGCACTGTCTGATTCTCTGGACACCCTCTCCATCCTCTGCCTCGGTTTCTTCTGTTTAAATATGGATCCTCCATTCAGACAGCACCGTGGCAAGAACCTGGGCTTCACATGCAGGCAGATCGGCCAAACCTTGGGCTTATCACTGTCATAATGTATTACTGTGGGACCTTCACCTACTCGCTTAAACTTACTAAACCCTGATTTTCTTGGGTGTAAAATAAAAATAATAAAAATGGTGCCCATATTAAGCCATAGTGCAATTTTGTTTTATTTTTGTTTCTTTGTTTTTTAGGCTGGACTCACCTGTGCTCAGGGCTTACTCCTTGCTCTGTGTTGGTTAGGGGACCAAGGCTTAAACCCAGCTTGGACACATGACAGGCAAGTGTCCCTACCTACCTACTGTACTACCTCAGTGCAGTTTTGATAAATGTGAAACACAACACTCTCAGCGGGAAGAGCCACATCACCAGTGCAGTCTGAACTGATGGGCTGAGAGATAGCAAGAGAAAGCATGGAAGCCAACGTGGGGTTATGCAGGGCTGCACAGGTGTGGGCGTGAGGAACAGACCCCCTTACACGCCATGAACTTTCACCAGACAATGCACCTCTCCCTCTTCCTAACTTACATCTATATTTTACCCGCCCTGCAGGCTTTCCAAGCACACCGGCCAATCCATAAACTTGGAACCATCACCAGATTCTTCCTACACCAGGCATTATATCTCACCAGTAACCTATACTTAAAAAGAAAATGACTGGCCAAAGCAGGACCATCTAAACCCCACAGTAATGTCAGAGGCTCAAGCCGGCCACATGCCAGCCTTGGGGCTTTTTGCTCTGGTTTATCCTGCTGAATTAATGTTTCTCCCTCCTTCTACCTATCTTCAGATCACCTTTTTAAAAATTATTCTTGTGGGCCAGAGCAATAGTACAGCAGGTAGGGCATTTGCCTTGCATGCGACCAACCCGAGTTCAATCCTCGGCATCCCATATGGTTCCCCAAGCACCGTCAAGAGTAATTCTTGAGTGCAGAGCCAGGAATAATCCCTGAGCATGGCCGGGTGTGACCCAAAAAGAAAAAAATATTATATTCTCTGGGGGAAGGGAGATGGTGGGTGGGCCACACCCAGAGGTGCTCAGACACTTCCTGGCTCTGTGTGCAGGAATAATTCCCTGGTGGGGTTTTGGGGACCACAGATGGTGCCTGGGACTCAAACCACGGCAGGCCACATGTAAGACAAGTGCCTTATCTCCTGTACTATCTCCCCAGTCCCTGACCCACTTTTTATGGGAGGTTTATTCTGTTCACTATATTCAATAATATATTCTGTTCTCTTTTCTTCCTGTTTTCTCCCTCTCCTTCCTTGCCTTGTTCTACATTCATTTACCCGAATCAGTTAAAAACGTTATATTTATTATTTGTTTCTCTCCCCAACTATAATGTTTCTCAAATTCAAGAATTTATTTCTGATCTTATTGATGGATATATCCCAAGTGTTTAGCACAGCTATTAATTGAAAGAAAAGTTAATTTTTGAATGAATGCATAATCAGGCCATCCTTTTCCTACCCAGGAATCAGACCTTCCCACACAGTCGAACAAAAGGCAGTGATAATCAGTTCTGCAACTGGATATCCAGCAGACTTCAAGAAACAGATGGGAAAGTTTTCAAATCTCCACCACACTCCCCTCAGCTTCCAAAGAATATAATCCAGTCACCCATGCGGCGGCTAAATCCAAGACCTCATTCGACACAAATTAATAATACACAGTTTGTGGGTAACAACCTGCAGCCTTTTGTGTCAGTGGGGTTGCCCGGAAAGGTCACAGAAATGGTTTTTCAAAAAAACCATACATCACTGCTTCATCCCAAAGAGAGAAAGGAGTCCTACTGGCCTACACCCTAAAGCCAGGATAAAGATGCACATTGGAGCTCATCCAGGCTGTTCCCTCTCCCTCTCTCTCTCTCTTTCCCTCTCCCCCACTCTGTCTCACATACACACTCACACGTGTGCGCACATACATATACACACATCACAGGGTCCACAAAAGCAAACGTGGACACCTGTTCTGAATCCAGACAACGAGCTGAGAGACAACCCCAAAGCTACACATTTCAACTGCTGGGTGAGGCATTTTCACCATGAAAGACTGGCCAGGTGCCTTGAGAGTACAGAAGAGGTAGGGTGCTTGCCTTGCATGATGCCTACCCCAGTTCCATCCCCAGCACTGCCGGAAGTGACCTCTGAGCACAGGAGCAGGAGTAGCTTCTGAATACCAGTGGCTATGCCCCCTCCACGCACTCCCTTCACATCCTAACCCCCCCCCCCCTCCACCCCTGGCCATGAATCTGTTTTAGAATTTTATCGAGAGCTGCATCTCTGCAAATGGTTAAACCTAGTTGGAGTCAGGAACAGCTGGACTCCCCAGTTATCTGCAGACACTCCGGGGTCAATGCGTTCCAAAGACTGTACGGATGACAGGAAGCACATCTGGGTTCCCAGCCGGGAGCAGCCCACATGGTCTCCTCTGGAAGGCTGGGAGCAAAGCTTGGCAGGTTACCCTCAGCATCTGGCTTTTGCCCCTGCGTGAACTGCCACTCCCTCTCAGCCCTGCACTCCTCCTTTTCTGGGAGTTACTGTTGTTGTTGTTTAAAAACAAGTCATTTCCAACCACCACAAATGCTCTGGTGGAAATCACAAGGATATTCATCTCTTTTCCCAAAATAACGCCAGTCAGAGGCAAAGGCCAAAGAGGTGGAGCTTGCAGGCTATTTTGTCAAAGTTTCAAATATCCTGGCTCTGACCTCATTAAAAGAATCACCAGGGGGAACAGCCCAACCTCCCAGTTTTCTCTTGAAGACAGTGGGCTGCTGTTCCTGCTCCTTCTCCTCCTTCTCTTCCTCCTCTTCCTCCTCCTCCTCCTCCTCCTCCTCCTCCTCCTCCTCCTCCTCCTCCTCCTCCTCCTCCTCCTCCTCCACCTCCTCCTCCTCTCTAATTACAAACTTCTGCACTTACAGGAAAGAAACAAAGAACCGTCAGTGCTCAGTGCTGTAAACCAAACCTCATTTTGCCAAGGTTATACCAAAGCAATCCAAGGCAAAGTTCGAACAGGAAGGTGTATGTTCCTCTGGGCAGAAGCCCCATCATTTCCAACCACTGGGACCAGTCCCCCCACTCACCCCACCATCCCACCCTAACTTCTCCAAAGCCCTTTCTGAAACAGGCAGCCGGCCTCACATTTTCCATACTCCTCTGGCTCTTTCCTTTCAAGGGGGAGGAAGCGGCATTCTTGGCCCTCCAACAATCTTCCTTGAAGGAGAAGGGGCCTTTTCAGCTCCCCGTGCAGAAAGACCGACTCAGGAAGGCGCAGACGCAACAGAAGCAAGCATTATCTCCCCAGCAACCCCCTCCTCGGGGCTTACAGGACTACTAGGGGGTGCGGGGAACGCCACCAAGGATGGGGAAAGGGCCTCCCCCTCCGCGGGAGGGAAGAAAAGCCTACATTGTTAATAAGATTATCAGGTGTCACCACTTCTGCTGGAAGTTTCACCTGGCAGCTGCTGCACCTCCGGGCCAGCCACACCTCCCGCCCGCTGCAGCGGTTCCCCGGGAGCCGGCCCGGTTCACTGGCCCCCGGCTGTTCCTATGGTGACAGCTCGTCCCCGGCCAGCCTCCCTCGCCCGCCCCGCCGAGTCCTCACCGTGGGATAAGCGAGAGCCTCGGAGTCCCCGGGCTCTGACAGCTCGCTCAGCTTGCGGTCCCACTGCAGGACGCTCTGCTCCCCGCTCTCCAGCACCTCCATAGCGGTCCGTCCGGGCGCGCCGCGGGGGCCGAGGCTGCGGGGTGGGGGTGGGGTGGGGGGCAGAGCCGCCCGGGAAGCCTGGGCTTGGGCTGCGTGTGCGTGTCGCTTATGCACTTGGAAGGAAAGAAGGATCGCTCCTCGGCCCGCGCCACAAGCGCCCGGGGATCCCGTCCGCGCGCGCGGTCCTCCGAGGGCCAAGCGCTGGGCGCGCGGGTGGCAGGGGTTAAGTCAGTGCAAGGAGGGCCTCCAAAATAAAGGCAGCTCGGCTTTCATTCCCTACCCCACCCCCCCACAAAAAAAAAGAAGAAAGAAGAAGAAGATCTCCGCAGCAAAGTTCACTTTCCACTACAACGCCAGACACAAACTTTGAGACGCTCCAGAGCTCCAGGGATCCGCTCGGGATCCAGCTACGGCTCCACCTCCCTCCCCTCCCCCGCAAGACAGTGTCCAATCGGAGCCGCCCATGGGCAATCGTACCCAATCAAAAGTCTAGCTTTCCGCCATGTCCCGCCTCCAAAGGCAGGGGGAGCCCGCGGGAGCCTCCGCCCAATCTGTGGAATGTAGGCGGGGAGCGCTTTGACGTCACCGAGGACCGCCTCCTGCCCGAGAGCGGCCGGCAGCCGGCTGTCTGTGGCAGAGGACCAATGAAATGCGCGGATCCCAGAGTGAAGGACTGAGGATAGAGCCAATGAAAATTGAGCGCTTGGGTAGGCCAGCCAATGAAATAACGACAAGAATACATTTTATAAAAGAAGGAGGGTGCGCTTCTGTTTGCGAATGCAGACACTTAGGGAGCGCTTGTAGCGAAAAACTTTCAGTACGGGGCAACTTTGTGTACTGCCCTAAATAGTTTTCAGTAATTTAGGCCATTTGAGTCATATTTTATTTAAAAAGACTTGCCTATGGTACCAATGCAATTTCCTACCACACATGAATTTGTATTAGCACGGTTCTTGCGAATTTGTCGGTTTCTTCGCCAGATTTTCGCCCTCTTCCGTTGGTGTTCTCCTGATAAATTTAGGGCTTCGCTTAATCTTTTTTTTTTTTTATTCACCCTACAGTCATTGACAAGAGAGGCGTCCTGAGCTAGGATTCACAGAGCATTTATCCCAGAGGTGTCAGGCATAAGCATAAAAATAATATAATTTTTTTATTTTTTATTTATTATTAGGCATGGATATAATTTCGGAAAGTGATTATCTGCAGTAAGGAAAAATAAAAGCAGATTAAGCGAGTGGGCTTAGACAGTGCTATTTTAGATGGCAGAGTGTCAAGCTCTTCTGAGTGAGTCGGTGTCCTCTGAACACGGGTCTGAATCATATGAGGTTTGGGGCCGAGCGGGTGTGGAGCTGGAGTATGACAGTGTGACAACAGCTTGGAGTGCCAGGCAGTGAGAGTGGCGGGCAGGGCTGGGGGTTGAAATGTACCCCGAAGGAGATATTTTGAATTTTTTTCCTCCTTTTTCACCTTCTTAATTTAGGGGGATGGGAGGAGTTCTTCAAGTAGGCTTGCCCCCGTATCTATAAAGATGTCTTTGCCAACTGGCCCCAGAATTCGCTTACAAAGGTACATTCAGGAATTTCGACTCTCCTGAAAACTTTCTGATAAATGGACTCAGTTGAGTGTCTTAGAGCTCTATTGTCTTTACGCAGCAAATTATCGTGCAGACTATTCCCAGACTGTTGCCCTGTCTTTTTGTGCATTTTAAGATTATATAACTCCTGTAGAAATCCTAGGTTTTAACCGCAAACTTCCTTGTGTAATGGTTTTGTTTTTCTTTCTTTCTTTTTTCTTCTCTTGGTCCTTGGTTTCTGTTGTCCAATCTGCTAACTCCTTTACCACATCCTTTTCATAAGTCACCCTTTCAGTACTCTTTCTGTTTAATTTGTTTTCACCTTTGGGGCCTTACCTGGGAGTGCTCCGGGGCTCTTTGCTCAGGAGTCATTCTGTTTGCCATACGTGGTGTCAGGGAATGAACCAGAGCCAACTGCGGGCAAAGCAAATGCCTTAACCGCTTATATTATCTCCCCTTCCTGCCCTTTCAAATTCTTGAAGAACCTTTCTATTTTCCTTCTTTTTAGTGTAATACTCAAAAAGAACAAGAGGGCTAGAAACAGAGAGACCCTCCTTAAAATTGGATCACAACCATTTCTCTAACAAACGTTTCTGCTATTGACAAGACAGCTTCTAAGGGTGTTCTCAGGAGGCTGCCTCGGGTGACTCGCTATCTTGTGCAATTCCTTTGCCTTAAGTATGGACTGGACCTGGAAACTTCCTTCAAACAAACAAATTGTGGGAGAAGTTATGGACTCTTGAGAAAGACATGACTCCTGATTGGCTAGTTCTTTCCTCTGCTTTTGCTTTCCTGTTCAGAAGGAAGCCGGCTGCCCTGCTGTCAGTCTCTTAGTGGAAAGACCCCTTCACACCGAAGCGAAGAAGGCGTCAAGTCAATAGCCATCCGAAAAGTAGACCCTAGGTCCAAGTACCCAAGGACTGTTCCTTGGACGCTTGAATCTTGTAGTCATTATACTAACTAGAGCATAGCAGAGCAGGTGCGGGCATTAGCTGCATAAGTGTGACTCAAAGGCAAGTGGCCACGTCTAGACAGTTTCAGATGTGCAGTTGAGTTAAGATGGGTCTTTCCTCAATGGAAAAAGGTACACAATAAAAAAAAAAATTCTCTCCAGTCAGGCAGTGAGGCATAAACTGCTGGTACATGCCGCTTGGGACCACTGCTGCCTAGGATTGAAGGACTAGCATTGTACTGCACCAGTCACATCACCCGTGACTGAATTCAGAACCAGATTCTGCATCTGTCTGGACCATAGCCTCGAGGGAAGCTTGGGACCTGAGGACTAGGCTGGGCTTCACTCACAGTCCTGGCCCACCAAAAGAGGAGATGATAAAGATATGTTGTCTAAGATTTTCCTTGTAAAGTATCCCAATGGGTTTGATTAGATTTGTCTACACCCCAATCCTACTGTCATAATCCCTCATAGTGAGTTTTTTCAGCTTCCTTCTTTTTGAGCAGGCTCCTGGCTTCTCCACAAGAATTCTCAATGGCGATCTTCCTGTTCTACAGCTAGAATCCAGAGTCCTTTTCCCTCTCATTCTTGGGATTTAACCCTTTGGTTGACTTCGTTTCCAGGCATTCCATGGCTTCCCTTCAAAAACAAACAAACAAACAAACAAAAAACAGGTGTGGGCCGGTACTGTGGGGTAAGGCGCTTATCTTACACTCAGCCAACCCTGGTTCAATCTCCGGCATTCCCCTGCGGTCTCCCAAGCACCACTAGGAGTGATTCCTGAGGGCAGAGCCAGGAGTAACCCCCAAGCACAGCCAGGTGTGGGCCCCAAACCAAAATAAACACCGACACAGACTGAGTTCATACCTTCCATGAAGGCTCACACTGGCTCTATCCTTTGCACCATGTATTCCCCTAGAGTGACCCCTGGGCACCATCAGGTGTGGCCCCAAAAAGAAAAAATGAGACAGATCAGTCTGGGCTGTGTGACTCAAATGATCACGCATACCCTCACTTGTGTGAGACCCTGGGTTTGATTCCCAGGAGAGTGTATCCTCTGAGACCACAGATCCAGCGTTGGCAACAACACAAAAACAAACCAAAAGTATAGCAACGCTGTTTATCTGTTTACACACAACTGATCTATAACATTATCAGAGGTAAATATAATGATTCAATATTTATAAATAGTGGGAAATGACACCTACCACACATACGTCTAGCCTGTATCTCTTACTATAATTATCATTTCTTTTCTTGTTACAAGAGCCTTTTAAATGTTCTTTGCAACTTTCAGATATATTCTACTCTATGGTTAACTCAAGCCTCATGATGTATCTGTACATCTCCAAGATTTATGTATTTTATAAATGGAAGTTTGTACCTTGAGATCCCCTTCGCTCAATATCTACTCTCTGCTCCTGGTAACTAGCAGTGTGTTCTCTGTATCTAAATTCACTTTAAAAAAAAGAAAGAAAGAAATCTCTCTTTTTTCCCTTCCCTTCCCTTCCCCTCCCCTCCTCTCTCTTCCCCTCTCCTCCTCTCTTCTCCTTCTCCTTCCATCCCTTCACCTCCCCTCCCCTTCCTTGGTTGGGGTGCTTTGGAGATCAGTGCCAAGGGTCCTAAAAAGCAAAGCTGCTGTGATTTTGCTTGGGTATGTGGGATGGTGTGAGGGCTCAAACTTATGGTATAGTCCTTGCAAGGCAAGTGATCAACTACTGAACTATATCTTCTCATTGTCGGTCACTTTTCCCCCACCTTCAGATTCCCATTAGATGCCCTTCAGATTAGCACAGCGGTAGGGCGTTCGCCTTACAAGCGGCCAACATGGCCGACCCGAGTTCGATTCCTCCGCCCCTCTCGGAGAGCCCGGCAAGCTACCGAGAGTATTTGATTTGCCAGACACAGTAACAACAAAGTCTCCAATGGAGACGTTACTGGGCCCGCTCGAGCAAATCGACGATCAACGGGAGGGCCCTTCAGATTCATGTAGAAATGAGATCATTCCATATGTGCTTCTTTCACTTCATGGCTTTTATTTTTTCACTTAGCCTAATCCTCTCAATGTTCATTAATATTGTCTCAAGACAAGATTATCTTATTTTATGACTGACTAATATCTCATTGTACTTATAATGCAATTTTGTTAGATATATCCATGAGTAGACAATTAAGTTCCTTCCAGGATTTGACTCTAGTTAATAACGCTGCAGCAAAATGTGTATAGAGCTCTTTTAATTAGTCTTTCCATTTACTTCCTAAATAATCAGAAATGAAGTTGCTGGAGCATGTAGTAGGTATACCTTAGACTTCTTGAGGACTATTTTTTCTGTTTTCCCTAGTGGCAAAAGCAGGTTACTTTTTTTTTTTTTTAAATCATATTCTTTAATCTTTATGAAAACAGAATGAGTCCTAAAACGATCAAGGTATAAAGATATTTTGAATTACCTTTCCTTAATAAAAGTCCGGGAAAATTAATTTCACATAATAGTTGGATACAGAAAGTAGTTGACATAAAGCCCAGAAACGTTTTTGAAAATAACCAAGGAATGTAGAACAGAAAACCTCCGTATGTATGAAAACATGACAGACATGCTCAAAAAATATGAAAAGTATAACCGAATTTTCTTAAAGTAACTAATTAAAATAACAGTTATTGAAGTTATAAATAAATAATTTTCTTATTTTTTATTTTATTTTTTTTATTAGTGAGACATATGAGGTACAGTTGTAGACTTAAAAATTTTTGTGCTTGGGTTTCAATTACACAATGATCAAACGCCCATCTCTCCACCAGTGCCCACTTCCCACCACCGCGGATCCCAGCATCCCTCCC